TGTTTGTTTGTTTATTTGTTTTGTTTTGTTTTGTTTTGTTTTGTTTTGTTTTGTTTTGGTTGGTTGGTTGGTTGTTTAGTGCTGATGCTGTTGGTTATGGTGTTGCTGTTTTTGTTTGCTGTTGTTGCTGCTGCTGCTGTTGCTGCTGTTGTTGTTGCTGCTGCTGCTGCTGCTGTTGTTGCTGCTGCTGCTGCTGTTGTTGCTGTTGTTGTTGCTGATGCTGCGTCTGTTGTTGCTGATGCAGCAGCTGCTGTTGTTGTTCTTGTTGTTGTGTTGTTACTGTTGTTGTTGCTGCTGTTGTTGTTGCTGTTGTTGTTGTTTTTGCTGCTGCTGCTTCTGTTGCTGTTGTTGTTACTGATGCTGTTGCTGCTGTTGCTGCTGCTGCTACAGGAGCAGCAGCAGCAGCAGTTTCATTGCGCTCTGGTTGCCTGCTGCTTTTCTGCTGCCTGGGAAACGAAACCAATGGCTAGACAGCCCGAGTATGTTTTGATCTGTGTTGTTATATTCTGTTGTGTGTGTAGGGGAGTCTTCATCTGCAACGAAACTAAATAAGGGGTTTAGGGTTTAGGGTTTAGGGTTTAGGCTCCAGGGTTGTAGGGTTTAGAGGGAGTAATAAAAAACAGAAATAAAGTCAAAGAGAGAAAGAAACAACCAAAATAAACTGAAACTTTACTAGCTGGTGGTTGCTGCTCGGTGGAAGCCGGGGGGTATCCTCTGTGTTGTCGGCTGTAAATATAGACGAAAAGAAGTGAAATAACAAAAAGAAAATAATTTATTTATTAAAATTTGCAGTTTTTAGGTGTATTCACTCACCGAAGGCAAAGAAGAAAGAAACAGCATACAACAAAACAGGAGCTGCGTATACACCTCAACGACCAACCAGCCCCAGCACACTAGCAGCAGCTCGCCTGCTGCTGAGGAGGATAAACCGAGAAAACAATAGACTTCTGCGGCTAAAATTTAAAAATAAAATAAATAAAAAATAAAAAAAATAAAAAAAATAAAGAGAAATACCACTTACCACCACTACACCCACCGCGCGCCCGGGGGGGGTAGTCGCTGATGCTGTATAAGAAAGAACAAAAAGATGAAATATCAAAAATAAAAATTAATTATGTAAATTAAAGAAATAATTTAAATTAAAATTATTTCTTTAATTTACATAATTAATTTTTATTTTTTTATTCTTCTTTTTTCACTTATTTCTCTCTTTTCTCTTCCCCTGATCTGTGCATACACCTCAATTCCACTCGATTTTCATCGTTTTTTTTCGTGTATTCTCCTTACCAGTATCTTCAGTGCAGCATACTTTATACAGCTAGCCAAAGTCAGCTGCAGCAAGCTATAGATGGCTAGCTGTGCCCCGCTCTAGCTAGCTGTATGAAATACCGCCTGGGGGCCTTCGCAGCTTCTTCTCTTCTTTTCTTCTTTTCTCCTTTCTCTTGTCGTTGTTACCTGGCGTTGAGGAGAGAGCTCGCGGCTTCTTTCTATGAATTTAAACCCAAGGGCTATCATCTGAGGGTGATGTTCTGTTTGTGCTGTTTGTGTGGTTTTTCTTTTCTATATATGGCAACACAGTCAAGGGAAATCAAGAATTATATATATATATACGTTAACACTATATATATATATATATATATATAT